GATCTTAGCTCGGTCATTCTCCACCACCTTTGGAGGTGTCCCCCATTTTGACCTCGGGGCTTCCAGTCCATATTCTGCACAGATGTTTCTGTACACATCTGTGTACAGGAACATCTGTACACAGATATATATATATTTCTGAATTTCAAATTCAGAAATCAGCCAAGCTGCAGCCCCCCACACAAATGAGATACATGTTGACAGACAACATAAAAGCTGGAATCTAATTCACTGATGATGGATTGCAGATCTGTGTTGGTACAGTTATCATGTAGGTAGAGGGGGCAGGGGGGGGGGACGCTTAATTCCTCTCCGTAATGAAATCCATCTGCATCTTCAGTTTGTCACAACATCCCACTCCTGTCAGCGTGTCTGTGAAACTCAAATCCACATTTCCACATTGTAATCTCCAAACCTCAAACTGCGGCGACGGACGCCGTCGGCAAGCTAACCCGAGATCATCTCTAAACATTTAGCAGGTTGACCTGCAAACCAGTCTTTGCGTTACTGCTTTTTAAACTCAGAGTGACTACCTTCTGTGACCAACAGCTGGTTTTGGAAAAAAAAAGGAATGACACAAGAAGGAAAATACTTGTGTTATTGCTGAATTGTTACGGTTTCCCAGGTTACTTTAGCTGGAGCCTCAGTGAATCAACAGTTTACACAGGGTTGTCCACATTTTTTCAGCCGCACCTTTTTCTTCCACCAAAGTTGGAAGAAAGTTTCATTGAGTCTTTTCTGGATAACCCCCCTCACATAAAATGTGAGTGACCGAAACCTGGAAAGCTGCGAGGTCACCGACTTACTGCACACTTCTGTTTGCCATATCGAAAGTCGTCGGCCTTATGCAATATTTTGATTTTTCTAGAAACTGTAATTTGTTTTTATAAGCTGTAAGCCAAGGTCATCAAATTGTGAAATAAACATGTTATTTGTGAGAAATGAATCTAGAAAACAAAAGTCTTACTTTTTAAAGTAAAGGACAAAAATGCATGTTTCATATGCATTTCTAATCTATGGAGATGAGCATATGTTCATATTGTATTTACAAAAGAAAACAGAACCCAGACAGAACAGAGAGTAACAAACATAAATCGTTACTGTTGTAGCTACTCACCTGTTTTATGTATTGATTGTTAGCAAATGCATTGTGTCCTGAGTGTAAGGCGACAGAAATAGCTCGTACTATCTTGGCTCTTATTTCTCACCCCCAAAATCTGCACGGATGAGTGGAAAGTGATGATGGAGAAGAAGACTTAGTGAGTGAGTGCGCTGTGAGCTGCTGTGAAATGTGGCAACCTTGTGCCAGTTAACTTGACTGAAGCAGACACGGATTTCCATTAAAGCAGATTGAAATCTCCACTGGGCCGTGTAAAGGCTGGTTATACGGCCTCATCCGTGATGGATGTATGCACATGCAAACTACGTCAATAAAGCCACCCAAGTAAATCACCCGTTTCCTGACCTGAAGGTGCGAATCCCGCCCGTGTTTCCATTAGAATTATAAAAAGAAGGAAAATTTGAGAAAAGCAGCATGAAAAAAGACCTCGTCGTCAAGACAAGCCTGTAACTTTTGAATCCGAGGTGTTTTATCCAGGAGTCGCATATGCAGAAAAAGTCTGAAGAAGGTGCAAAACGTTCTGGTCTATTCTGCTTTGTGCCTCTGAGCATGCTCAAATGGTGAACGCCAACACGGATCTCCTCAATGGCTCCAACAAACAGTTCAACATATTAAGAACTGGCCCAGACGTGATCCGTGCCTACTGGCTCAAAAATAAACCAACTTCTGAAGAAAGAATGGAACTCACCTTTAATGACTGACCAAGTTCTGAACAGTCCTGATAATGAAACCCCCCCCCCCCCCAAAAGGGAACCAACCCATCCAGCTACTGGCAAATGAATCTGAATGTCTCTCAAGCTCCTATCAGGTATAATGGTGAGTGAAATAAGCCGGCACATGGATCAATTAGTCCCACATGCTGCTTTCACACCAGGACTTCAGAACTTGGACTGCATGGTGGTTCTAATTGGTAGCACTGTAGCAAAACGGTACTGGGTTCAAATTCCAACCTGAGGTTTTTCTGCATTGAGTTTGCTTGCGTGTGTTTTTCCTGTGTGAGTTTTTCCGGATACTATGGCTTCCTTTCACTGTGAATACTGATAGGTTATTTAGTCTGTGTAATTTGTCCCTAGGTGTGTGTGTGTGTGTGTGTGTGTGTGTGTGTGTGTGTGTGTGTGTGTGTGTGTGAATTGGTTGTCTCTTCTTTGTGTCCCTCTGGTGGACTGGCCACCTGTCCAGAGTATACTCTGCCTGGACATAGGCACCTACCCTCATTCATTCATGCATGAATGAATGGAGAGAGGAAAACTAATTGTTCCAGAAACAACTTGCTGAGCTAAACATCCTCTGAACTGGATTGTTGAACCTTTATCAAACAGAAAAGAGACCGATGTGAGAGAATATCAACCCATGTTACCACAAGGTGAATATTTGACTGGTCCTCTTTTTTAGATTTGATGTTAATAAATCTAGAACTTTTTCTTTTCTTTTTTTTTTTTTTTTACAAAAAAAGCTCTGTAGAAGTTAATCTAAATTGCTAGATACCTTGCAAATGTCAAAGTTGTAAATACACACGCACACGCACACACAACCCCCAAAAGTCAAATGGGGACTCTGCTCATTCTGAATGAGCTCCGTCTCCTCAGTCAGTTTGACTCCAAGCGGTAACAGACGGATCGACAGTGATAGCTGAAGCGCGCTCCCGGTGCGCGCCGCGGTTCCAGCGGGAGCGCATCAGAGGCTTCATTAGAGATCTGCAAACTTCCGCCGGTTGAAGGTGGGTCAAGTCACAGAGAGAGAAAGAAGTTTGCTTTTGAAATTTCTGGAGACAACAGCGACGCCAAAGTGGATCTCGTCTCTGGCTGTTTGATCTGGATCGACGTTGTGACAGTGGCTGCTTGCGGCGGAAAGAAAAAAAGAAATACAAATTAAAAAAAAGAAAAAACAGCGTGGCTTTTGACGCTCTGAGATAAAACGACGACAATGTGTTTTTTGACAATCAATTTTTAGGCTGTGAACCTTTTTTTGTCTCCATGTTCCCATGTTTTCCATTCTGAAAAATTCAAGTATCTAAAACCGGACGAGTTGCTCTGAAACTGTGGGAAAGAAAACATCCTGTTTCATCGCGATGGACTACACTGATTGAATTTCGTCATTAAATGGACTTAAATTTCTTCTTTTGAAGAGCAGCGTCGGAAAGTACCAAGTTTGTGCAAGGAAGCGGGAAGGAGATGACACCCAGCCCTTTATTCCTGGTCCTCATTCTGTCGCTTACAAGTAAGTTATGTTCGATTCCTTGCGTTTAAGCGTAAAACTTTACGATGAAAAACATGAATTTCGATTCCAGTGCGTTCAGACTAGCAGCGTGTTAGTGGAGAATTCATTCAGTGCTATGATCCGAAGGAGGAAATAGACGCTGTCCATGGTGCTGATGTCAATGTAAGCACACAGATCTCTGGACTACTTCAGATATGACCGACGTGCCTCCCCCCCTGTACACACACACACACACACACACACACACACACACACACACACACACACCCCCCCCACACACACACACACACATACACGTTTGTACATGAACGATGTTCGGGTTCCTTAAAAATGTAACTTGGCCTTGATTTGCACATAAATCCCCCACTTTGACTGAGTTTTTGTCAGTTTTTGCTAATAATAATAATAAGACACCGAGGCACGCATTATGGGACATACTGTTCAGTTTTGAATTTCTTTCTCTTTCATTTAATAACTTGTTTGCACTTTCTCATCCTTTTGGCTAAAGAAACGTTTTCAGCCACCAACTTCACTATTCGGCCATTTTTAAACACATTTGTTGGCAGCCCTGGTAAAGTTGTGTTAAAAGCCTACATTCCAATTAATCGATTATTGCTTTGGCATCATTTCATAGTGAAAAAAAATCTATATGGTTTATTTTGTGTTCATTTATTCTCACTTTGACAAACTATCCTTCAAACAAAATCAACCCTGGCTTAAAAAAATCTGTAAGCCAATCCATAATTTGATTTAATAATTTAATCTTAAAGTTGATCTCTGTGGATAGAAATGTTTCATTATTAACCAATGACCGGCTTGCTCTGTGGGGTATAAATAGAAAATGATGCAGAGGTCAGTTTCTTTTAGCCTCTGGGTTGGAGAAGCAGCCATAACACACCGTGCCACCAGGCACTGGATGAGGTAAAATAAATATCCAGAGCTCATAGTAAGAGAGCATGTGAAGGCCTATTGGTTGGATAAGAATAATGTCATAATTTTTTTTTTTTTTTTAACTGGAACATTGTGTTTAATCAGGCAAGACAAAGATTAAGCTTTTCAGCAAGAAGCACTTCTTGTGAGTCTGGTATAAAACAAGGGATGAAAATGCGAAAACACCTCATGTCCACCGTTAAGCCGGTTAAGATGCTGCAATGGCATGATGGCCTCTCTTAAGGCATTATGAGAAAAATATTTTCATACAAACAGGATCATAAGCTAAAGATGCCATTAGGTCTTTCAACAGGATTGTGATCCCAAACAAAAACCTCTTTCCTTTTTCATTCAGACCTCCTCAAAAAAGACTGTAGAAGAAATAGATTGAGTGATTAATCTTGCTAAGTGTTGTCCTTTTGACAAAAAGGGATTCGCACAAAGTATTAGTGGTAGAATTTCCAACAACTCTTAATGCAACGATGTTAGCGAAAACAATCATCTCCTAACTTAATTTTTAATTGAAACTCACGGTTGGGTAACATCTGTCTCACTCTCGTTTAGAGATATTTTCTTCCGTCTACCTGGAAGGTTGGACAGTTGTTGTGTGCAGACTCTAAAAATATTCAAAAGTAAAAGCAGATGGGCTCTTTGAATAATTCACCGAGGGCTACTTTTGTTCATGTATCCAAGAAAGCCTAGCGTCGCTTCTCTCAGAGAACACACTTGAGTGGCTCTCGGTTTATAAAAGAATCTCTTTGTTAATAGTCTGGATTCTTGTTTTGTGGAGCTTTGTGGGATTTTTTTTTTTTTTTTGGCTTCTTTTATCACTAAACTGACACATTAAGCATTTTCCTCTGGGTCAGAATCAAACAGCGAGGACATTTTACCAGCATCAATGAATAAAATGGGCAACTCACTACAGTCGATACACTTAACAGAAACAAAAACGTGGTTAAGCATTATCCTATTGGACCCATCAGGATACATATCTCTGTAAACAAGGTTTTAAATAATTTATAGGATGAAGTACTGTACAACTCAGAGAGACTGAGCAGCCTTCTGAGTCCTTTACAGTGTTGCTCTCTGTGTTTGCATTTCCTTAAAAGGCCAGAAGATTTGTGCTGGATTAGTGCTGCGTATTTGTATTTGGCACCAGTGCTCATTCAAAGCGGCTGTGGTGAAATCCACAGATTAAAAATGGCAGCTCTATAACTTCACTGATTCTGTCCTTCTGTGCTTCTTTGAGGCATTTGAATCCACATACAGCAGAGTAATAAGTACTGAACAAGTCAATGTTATATTTTAATCTGCCTTTTGATACAAAACTCACAGTGGATGTCTCTAACACCCAGGGCAACCAGCAAATACAATCAAATCAAAACAAGTAAGTCCACAAATCGTGAGTTTAATGGAACAGGGAATACATGTTGAACATTTATTTCTTGAAATGTCTCAATATTGGGTAATTCAAAGTCATTTTTCTGATAAGGACGACTTCAAAAAAACCTAGCATAAAGATCAATGCATCATCGCTCAGGTGGGATTTTGACCCGATCTCTATAGGAAATGTTTTAATCCGGGATGTTCTTGGTGTGTCTTATTTGTACTCCCATTTCAGTTCTTTTCATATATTTTAAATTTGATTCAAGACGGATAACCAGCTGGGCCATTCACTTTACATCAGGCTATTATCATTCATCTCAGAAAGTCTGAGAGAACTTCATCCAACCTGATGGCAATTATTTCAGTAAAAACCCCTCTGGGAATCACACCGTTGTTGCCAAAGTGTTTCTTTTTTTTTTTTAACGTAGGTTCAGTTAAAGAACTGGGGACGATAAAAGTTGTGCAAAATACAAAACAAAAAAAATAATTTAAAGATTGCAAGGGCATCTCTCTCCATGCAAACAAAATATAAAGAAATGGGAAATAACTCAGCTTTTGCACAACATGTTAGGATAGAGTCTAACTTATGTCATCCTTAGGTTTAACCCAGCTTTCCCTCTGCAAGCGGCACAGCAAACTAGCTGTCCTTTTGGGTTGAAATAAGCTGAAAACTGGTTGTTTCATTTAGCTTTAATGCATTTATTCGCCCCATTTGAACTGAAACAAATAACACCCAGTCTGACATAAAAGTCGAAACGGCATGGTGCATCTGCAACAAGAACATCTGCCCTCGCTGCACGCAATCTACTGCAAAAAAAAAAAAAAAAAGGGAGGCAGTTCATGTGGCACAATGAAGCAAGCCATCTAGATATTTAATGCCTGTTTTGCTTTTGTAAGTTTGCTTGACAACAGAGGCACGATGACGGCAAATGTCATGAGACGGAAAAAAAACAAAAGAAACAACCCATTTTGCCTCCAAGTTATTCTGGGCTCTATTTTTTACATAACCAATCATTTAAAGCTGTGCAAACACAAAGCTTCGAGAGGTTGTCTCATAGGATGCATGACTGGATTTCTGTTAGTTTTTTCTTCTCAGAGAGTCTGCAAAATGCTCAGCCAATCACATCGACAAAGCAAACGTGAACATGGTGTAATAGTGATAGGGTTAGGCATCAATAGCTTTATTGTTCACATCCAACTGGCATCTAAACACATGAGAGAAGCTAAGTCAGTTTGTTTTTTTTGTTTTTTTTTTTTGTAAAAAGAAGCTTCCTGACATTGTGGTTCACCACAGGACGAACAAATGGCATTTATCCATCACATTAATTATTGATTGATTGATGTAATGTTTTCACATGAGTTTGTGTCTGTTTTTCCTAATGGATGATTTAGCCTGCAGCCATATGAAATTAAACACAGTCGGGGCGTATTTGTTGCTCGTGCTTTTCTGCCCTGCAGACAGCAGAGCAGAGAATGCTGAGGAGCGGCTGGTGAACCACCTGCTGGGACCGGAGCGCTACAACAAGCTGATCAGACCTGCGGTGAATAAGAGCCAACAGGTCACCATCTCCATACAGGTTTCTCTGTCGCAGCTCATCAGTGTCGTGAGTATACTTTATGATCTGCAGTAATCGTCAAAATTGGGTTTTGGGACAAGTTTCAGTGGTACATTGAAGACCCATTATAATATTTCAATTATAATATAAAGATTTTATACAGTCCTTTTGCAAAAGTTTCTATACCCCTTCAACGTGTCTCTAATTTCTCACTTAAACTTTTCATGTCGATAATGTGCGATTTAAGGAAAACAAGTGTTTTTTTAGACATGACAATTTATGCTGGCTCTTATTTAGCTCCTTTTTTCTTTATCATGATAGCTCTAAACAAAATCTGGTGCAACTTAACAAGGAAAACTGCCTCATGAGGAGCAAAGGGACCTCAGACAGGTTAGAGACAAAGCTCTGGAGAAATTTAAAACATGCACTGAAAAAAAAAAAAAGATCCTGTGGTGAAGTAGATTTAACAAAACTGAATCTGTGAAATCAACAACAAAAATCAAGTTAGTGTATTTACACAAATATATCTAGTATTAAGGTCCAAAATATTTATTCAAGATACAAGAGATTGTAATATTTTTCAGAAAATGCATTACGAGCCTATCTTAACAAAAAACAAAAGAACAATCTTTACGGTGTTTCATTCAGTATTTCAAAACACCAAATACCTATGAGACTGTTTCAATCAAGTATTTTCTTTTTAAGGGTTGTTAAAGAAGTACAACAAACTCAGATTTATTATGTTAACTTAAGATTTTACAGCGTACTTTGCGAATTTCATTTACTACATTAAAAACAGTTTCATAATTTATACAAAGTTCAGCTTTGTTTAATTTACCTGACAAAATTAAATTAGCTTTACTTGGATTTTCTTTTTCATGTCACAGCATAAGTATAAACATACTTATGCTGATAAACATAACTCAGATAAACATAAATCAATATGTAAATATTTGCATTTTTTTTTAAGTGAAGGGCAGAATATTTTTTGTCAGTGTGGTTTGGTTATGAAACAACATCTCAAGCTGTGGACAGTTCTCGGAGAGCTGCGCAATCCTGGTTCTGAAAAGCCTCCAAGACGTCGCCGTCTTGACAGACTCAGCGCTCCAATGAGACCAGAAGCCAAGAGGCCATTTTAATGCTGCAATGTAAGCCAGTGTTTTAATATTTAAATTAGTATTTTTAGTTTTATTGCTCCTTATGTCATCTATAAAATGTTCCAGATTTCCACAGAATGGGCCACCCTTTGTGAAAGAGCTGAACTTTACTTCAGGGGATCCAGATTTTTCAACTAGAAAACCACAATGCTGGGTCGAAAACCCAGATATTTGGGCTTTAATTTGGTGACATGACAGCCGATCCTTTTATATCATCCAACATAAGGCAGCATCGTGAGCAAACTGTAGCAGAACTGTACCTCCGCTGTTTTTATTTTTTATTTTTAAACCCTTTGGGCTCTGAGCAGACAACTTCCCAGTGTCTCTGACGCCATGCATCTTTAATCAGCTGCTCTCCCTGAGCCCATCTTACGCCGAGCCTCTTGGACCCGGAGAGGCTGCTGAGCGTCTAATTTCCAGACGAGAACTGACTGCAACATTGTTTTTGCTACTAAAAACGTGAGCTTACCGTTGTTAACACAAGTAAGAGAGAAGAGGAATGGGAGCAGATTTTAATCAACTCTTTTACACTCTTGACTTTGGTGGAATCCTTTTGGGGGTTTTTTGTGAAACAAAACATCGAACTGAAGAAGTATAATTTGATATTAAGATGATAATTCATCCTCCCACTCCATCTTTACACCATGTCTGATAGATTTCTGTTTAATATACTGGAAAAGCACCTTACCAGACAAGTTTCTGTTGTTTCTCAGGAGGCTCCACTGCATTATGAAGAAAAAAAAAGTCCAAAATATAAATTATGGTGTGAGATGCAAAACTGACCCAGGCAATATCTTTAGTATGACATAAAGCTTAATTAACAGACTCTGTGCTGCTTTACTAGTTGTAGTTGATGAGATCTCTGTAACAAATCTACACTGTTTCTGTATCTGACTGCATAGATATTTATCTAATATTTAATCATTTTCTCTCTAAAATAAACTCATTTGATTTAAATAGCTTCATGGATTTCATGACATAAAATCTAACCACTGCTAAATCACCTGAACTCCCTGTTGCATCAGTGAGGGTCATTTACTTGTGTAGAAAATATACGGTTACGTTGCATTAACTGGATACTTCTTAAAACACACACACACACACACACACACACACGCACACACACACACACACACACACACACACACATAATCATTTCCACAAAAAAAAAAAAAAAAAAAAAAAAAAAAATGGTG